CAATAAATTCCTCCATAAAAAAAGCATATGTAGCCGGTATTTAACACGGCTTTAAGAGAAAGCTGTGTAGTGATTATTGGATAACCGGGAAAAGATTAAATAAGCGCCATTTAAGTTGACACACAACTAAACAGCAGGATAACAGCTGTATAGAAGCGTTAATGGATATGCAATAAGAGCTTGTCCCAACCATCCCAACAACCATAATTAGCTGACTAAATTCGCCAGATTTACTAGTATAGAGGTTGAGTAAATATTTCCTCATATCGTATAACTTTTGAATACAGCTTGAGGCTGTATAAATGAAATGAGTAAAGCGTTTACATTGTGAAAATTGTTAGTTGGACAGATCCGGATAATTGTGTGCGGCTTTTAAGACTAAATCTCAACTCTAGATGCCCGGAAAATCTCACAGTAGCAAATCAATCTACGAAAAATCTTTTTTCATTTCTCGCATCTACTTGCATCGCAGCATCATCTCTTTGCAGGAAATATTTAGAATCGCCATCAAACTTCTTTCTATTTACTCACCGTGCACACCACACAAAACAAAATCTTTCCTGCATCGTAAATAGAGTCGTTCTCCATCGGAAAATCCTGATGAATTATAATAATTATTATATCATTTGAATACTATCTTATTATCGTTGAATACTAAGGAACAAATTAGCCATGTCCTGATGTAAGACGAACCTTCTCTCATTGATTCTTAGGTTATTATCGAAATTAAATCAAGGTATCCAAGCAGTACAAATCTGTAGCAGAAAGTTGCAGCATATTGAATGTGACTGCAATAAGTCACATAAACATTGCCTCAACTGTTTTGCAACATGTATGTTGCTAGGATAGATGGATCGTTTCATGATTTTCAGCAAACGAACAAAACACACTTTTTTGTGCTAAACATATTGATAATTCTGTAACTCGATGTAACATCGGTTGATGCAACTGGCACACTTGCTCTATGGTCTTTTATGTTTGCTGCAAACGGAAAGAGTATGTGCATTCAATTGTTGCAGTCTTATTTTATTACAAGTTTCAGAGCATTTAGGCAGGTTTTTCAACATATAGACACACACTGTATTTAACCTCGTCTACATCTTAAAAGTGTTATCCTTCACGGGCACAGGCACAGACCTATTGGGTCGGTTTTATAAATTGATGCTGGCCAGGTAGCGAGCATGTTTCAGACATTCTTGTTCGATCACGTGCCGATGAATAAATTTTGAAGAAAAATGAAACCTTTATTATGCGCGTCGGCTTTGCTCGTGTTGACTCAAGTTTTAGCAAGTAGGTATCGCCCTGTGAAAGGGATTCCGTATCTGTCTCTCCATCCTCAAATGCTTGCTTTGCAGAGCTAAGCGACGTGCTGTAGTACGTATGGAGGATGCTATTTTTTATTCACTGGTAACGTAATTTTGTGTAGTTATGCCTTCGGAAAATGGTTCAAAATGAAACACATGCACCGAATCTCGGTAGAAGACTACCACGAATGTGCCACTCTTTTTGCTCGTACTTCCTTTTCCTTAATTTACCCCACGTTGTGTGAGTGCTTTCTGCCATTCATGTTTCTCCAGAATATGCATACACGTTGCGGGGACTATATTAAAGCTTTCGTTAGGCTGCTTGGTATTGAATAATGTATCATCTCTAGTGCGAACATTGACAGTCTAGTGGGTGTCGTGCTTGTATGACCTAGCAGTAGACAGCGCTGCACCTCACCGGGGGAAGATTCTGAGAGAGTTTTTTTTTTGTTAAGATTACGAACTGCAACGGAGACAGAGAAAAACGAGGGAAAAACATTTCCGTATGCTGCATCAAGTGCTTAATTTTGAATTTGATGAATTTATGGATGTTTAATGTTAAATTTCCGATTCAGTCTGGAGGTGCTATTATGAATAATAATTTTACGTAAGCATTGGTAAATATTCTATCGCAGCCTTAATGGACTTCATTTCCGCAGTGAAAGCAGATACGGGAGATCTGTACAGAACACAGCCCTGTGGAAAACTCTTTTTTTTCTACCTTTGACACTTCTTATGTGAACATTTTGTCTGCTTTCATCTCAGTGTTCTTTGAAGCACTTCCACGGTTGTCAATTGAGAGCTTTCTACGCCAATTAATGCTTGAACTTGTATATTGTGTCATAAGCACAAGGCTCTATGAACATTTTCTAAACTAGACTGGGTATCGAGAACCTGCGACCTCTGGCTTGGTAATACAGCACCTTAATTGACTAGGCTACAGTGATGTTATGGTGGTTAGAACTGGTGACCCTCTATGGTAACCAGGTATAAAAACTAAACATTATTTTTCTTAAAATTCTTTTTTGACTCGACGTTCTCCAATTTGCATGCAACTTTGCATAATTGTTTGTTATGGGGTTATTTTTATTTAAATTCAACCATTTTTTAGCTTGTAATTTTTTTCAAAATGGCGTTTTTGACATTTTTTAAGAAATTTTAGCATGAAAACGTCACTTCTGATCGAAATGACGCCTGAAACAAAGTTTTAAAGAAAAAATCTAGTGCTTCTGGGAAAAATACACAAGGATTTTTTTTTAATTTTGAGTATAAGTTCCAATAAAGTGTGAAATACTCAAATATCTCAAAATATCCTTGCTCAATTTTTATGATTTTTTTTTAAAAGAAAAAGCTCATGAAAAGTGCATTTTCGTGGAATCTTGAAAACCATGGTAAGATTACCAAATAAATTTTCCGTGAATATTCTTCCAACAAACACTTTATTTTTTTTCTACAACTTTGTCCTAGACGTTATTTCGATCAGAAGTGCTGCAATTTATTAAAAAATGTTGAAAAGGCCATTTTGAAAAAAGATAACATTAAAAATGGGATTGATTGCCCATACAAACAATTATGCTAAGATTTATGAAAATCCGAGAGGTCTTGTTTGATCGATTAGTAATTTGTGTTTACTACACATGGTATTGCGATTAAAAAGATAAATTCGAATGGAGCTCCAACCACCGAGCTCTTCTTCTTCTTTTTTTCTTTATTTAACGGTTGTCTGTGTGCCGCAATCTAGTGCCAATCACCGAAGGACATCGATTGCAATCAATTGACGGCAATCGATTATGCAGGAAGGCAGCTTCTACACCTGCGTAGGATATCACACCCATTCAATTCAATACACATGGGCCGGGACCAACGGCTTTACTTCCCTTCCGAAGGAAGACGTGACCAGACATTTTTATGCCTCAAAAAATCCTACCGACCACTGCTGCAATTTAACCCAGACCTATTGGGGTGTGAAAGTAGTCACGCTTACCACTACACCACCCGCGCCGGCTGAACCACCGAGTTCAGCCGCACTGGGCTGCACTAAAAATGCTTATATTTTATTTAAGGTTTAAATTTAAAGTGATAAATTCTAGATAAATTATTATTATAGTGTTAAGTGTTACAATGTACTTTATATTACGTGGTTTCACGTTAAAATTACATTGTTGATCCCATGAATCGACAGATAGAATATCGACTCATGGAGGTTTCATTGGATATAAAAACGATGATGCTTAAATTTATAATAAGTTTCAAATGGAAAACATAAGGAAGTTTTTCCAAGCGATTGGCCCAATTTTGGAGCATAAACATATAATAGATAACGCAACCCTAGATGCATAAAATACGATGTAAGAACTCCTTAGGGGATATGTCTTTTGTTCAACAATGCCATTCGTTTAGTAACGGGTGTGTAATATAATTTGAAAATCCGACTCGACATGGCTCTACAAACTGTTATCATTTGGTCGGATTTACAGAGGAAATAGTTCGCACATGTGATGGAAGAGAAAAATTGCCCTTTCCCGGTAACCATTTGTCATGTGTTATTTTCAATTTTCAATGTCGTTCAGATGATTTATGATGGCTCGGTTGGCATTGGCAAGCGGGCACACGCGTTTGGAATCATAAATTATTGTCCACAGTTGCCTACCATTCCTCTTATCAGTAGCGATTCCGTACGAGCTTACTCGTTTATCTTGCATCTTCTTCATCTTGGCAATTATGTAGTGAGTTCTTCGGAAACTACATTGCTTGAAATATGATTAGGGTTTTTTTTTCTTTGATTTGTTTTCCGTCGATCTTGTTTTCCGTCGATCTTGTTTTCCGTACCAATGCTACCGACGCCAGGGAGGCAGCTCCCATACCTAGACCCTACCTATTGACCCATCAACTCATGAACCGGGGACTAACGGCTTTACTTACCTCCCAAAGGAAGCCGTGATCAGAGCTTTTATGCCTCAGAAAATCCCGGCGGTGCCGACTGGGATTGAACCTAGGACTGCTGGGGCGAGAGGCAATCACGCTTACCACTACACCACCGCTGTGATTAGGGTTGGATATTTTGCATATTGGATATTGACTTGCAGAGTATAAATCACACAGAACGTCAGTAGTTTTTATTTCATTTGGAAGATGTGATTCTAAACAAATTCACTTTTTATAAATTGTAAACGTTTCGCAAAATATCAACAAGCATAATTTATGACAAGTTAAAATAAAAGCATGTCTTTTAATCGAAAACCTTCGGTTAAAGTCGTGAACCAGAATCCGGATGGGCCATATCGAAAGATGGAAAGTATTTTAATATTTCTCTACCATCTGAATATTTTATCAACTTTTATCGTCGTTCGCTACGTTTAACAAGAAGACACAAGAGGCAGCTTGATTTGGTAAGCGAAAGGCAGATAGATATTTTCCGATCTACGAGTAGCAAGACATATACGGTTGAGGGTTTATTCAGAGAAAATTCACAACTGCCACCATACGGATTGTGGGTTTTACCAAGCAGGTGCAAACGGTAGCCATATTTTTCTGCATGCATAGAATCGAGCATTGCCGTTACTTGTCGGATGGAAATATGCGTGTTTGACACTGGAAATGGATCATTGGAATACCGAAATACCATGTCTTGTTATATGTAAAGTATAATTGACTCTGAGCCGTCCCTCGAGAACAGTGTGGAATGTTTCAACTCACCTGTCCTTTTCTGATGTTTTGTAGTTGTTTCGATCTGTAGTGAAGAGGGATGGAAACGATAGCTATAAACAAATGCTTGGCAAATCTGGTGGAAAGTGCCTCGTTGAGTGGCATTATAATATGGATGAGGTTTGTAAAGTGATACTTACTTCTAAAACAACACTTCCTCGTCCGTATCGCGTAGATACACAGGCAGACGAGGATTAGGAAAGCCGCCAGGCATCCCCCGGCGATTCCGAGCAGGTAACTCAATTCTAGTGGTTCCACTGTTTGTTTTTGTGATCCGTTTTTCCATCCGGTTTGGTTGTTTTGTGAGGTCGCAGCAGTGCGTCAAAAGCGTTGAAGAATGATGGTTCGGGTCGTGGGATTTAAATATGCAAAGAAAAACATTTCTTCGTAAGTGATAGCGGTACAAGGGTTGGGTTGAGCGAATTTGTAACATTCTATCGAATCAGCTTAAATCCCTTTTCACCAGAGGGTCATTTGTGTTTGTGATGTTTACCTCATTTTAAACGATAACCTGGCAACCTATCACCCGCTGTTTACTTTAACATGGTTGAAATTGTGTTGCTTTTAGTGATGTGAATTGGTGGTCGATTTGATCTTCTGTACATTTTTTTTGGCACCTTTTGATGTATCGGAAGGCTATTATATTATATAAAATTGGGTTTCAATCGAAAAACTTGTTCGATTTAAGACCTTAGGGTCACCCATATATTATTTTATTTATATTGGAATATGGAAACTTGCCAACAGTCACCCCCAATGTATTGATTGAAATGTTTTTTTTTATATCTGAAGCTTATAAGAAACATAATCGGAACGAAACGTCAACATTAGAACGAATTATTATCTTGCAGTGTTATTCTAAACGACCGGTAAAAGTCATCTTATATCAATATGTGCAGAACAATATTGCGACTGTTTTCATGTCGTATTATATGGTTATTGTATATTTTATGTGTTTTGTTGCAATACTATTAGCTCGTCGAGCCCCAAACCTAAATCATAATTTTAAAATTTAAATTCATAGTTCAGCAATATAAATCGGATTTTTGATGTTTTTTTTCCTTGTTTAAATGGATATTATTACGTATCTTATGGTTTGATTAGTCATGTCTTGTCTTTATAGGTTGAATGGTTAAATAATTTACAGGATTTTCTTTTTTGTCGAATCAGTAGACAAGCCAATTAAGCAAGTTGAGTCTGATTGATTTCTCCTATAATATTTTCCCTGAAATATTATACAAATATCTGATAGAATGCTCCAGGGTCAAATTTGTAGTTGAACTAGTGACAGAATATGTACTGGCCTCCAGAAGATTTTATTTGATTAAACATTGATAATCTGGATTTTATGGTTTCAAAACCAGTCTTTTAAGCGGTCACGGTAGTCGACACATTTTCTGTGACAATCGACTGCCTTTGCTTCCGACACTTGCAAAACAAGGTATCATAGTACAGTACCAAACTAAAATGTCCACCTTTGCATTTCTTTCGTCCAAAGATGGATAAAATAAAACCCAACAACTTTTTCCACGCTTCTCGAAATTGATCGGCTATAAGTTAAACTTTATCAAACAAGTTCAAACTCGATCGTGATGTTGGGTTCGAAACTCTTACACTCGTAAAACGTCCTGGATTCGCTCCACTCCACTCAAAATATTCAGCCCAAAAAGCTCTTTCAACACGTTTTTCCTTTTCAATTAGTTGAGTGATAAGCTCTAACAGTGCACTATCAATCGCGATCACAGCATTTTTTTTCAAAAACACACCACTCCTGTGTGAACAAAAGCTTGGCTCATCACACAAACCGAACAATAGTTCACGCGCAATCAAGGTTATACAGGTAACAATAAAAAATGCTAAAGTACTCATTTATTTTGTTATCAAGTATCATTGTACCAGCAACTCGAAAAACTTTTCCAGCTGCAGCGACGTTAATGTACTGAGTACATGTTGTTTTAAAAATAAGCGTAAATATAATTTAAACTTGGACATTCAAGTCCCGGGTGTTGCTGTTGGTTGTATTTCAAGTTGACCTTTGATTAAAAAAAAAGTAAAAAAATATGTTTAAATAGTACGATGTTTGAATGTACAGTAGCTGCTGCTGTATAGGTTAGGCCATTGCAAAATATGAAAAATTAACTGAAACCTTTTATTGTATTTTCATTTAATTTTTAACTTAATTTTATAAATTGTAAAAAACTTAGCCCGAACGAATTTTAAGTAAAAATTTGCATTATACCCTAAATTCTGTTTATCACCTCTTATTTTGATCGTGCTATCTCAAATTGCAATAAAATTAATTGCAACTTGTTAAAAAAAAATCTAGATAAAAATGATTTTAACAATGCTGTACTTATTATGTTTGAGGTGAACAACGAAAAAAAAATCGATGAATTTAGTGTATTTGTAAGTTTAAAAACAAATCTATCCCAGAAATCATATGATATTATATATGTCCGAGGTCTCGAAAGTTTTCACAGTCCCCCATTTTTTTTTTAATTTTTGCTACTCTATCGCGCTTGGTACGTAATGCCAACAGTTAGATGCCCAGACAACCAGAAGTTGTATAGCAATGTTCAGACAGTATCATAAATTACTACAGTTTAAGTCAACATCGCATATAAGAATGACATACATCGCATTATGTTTTAGTTAAATCGTATAAAATTCAAATTTCCGTTTTATTTGCAGTGAATCATTTTTCATTTTTCTCACCCCCGGACAAGTCACGAATGACCCAAGAGTGTTAAAGTGACTATAATAATAAAAAAAAAAAAAAAAAATTTCTATCGTTATGTATCAAAAATTAAATCAGACATCGTAAGACTTTTCAAATTGTATTTGTTTTTGCATATTAAATCTTATATAATGTCAAATCAACTCATTTAAAAAAGAATTAACATATGCACGTACATGGCCTCCACTTTTATATAAGCCATTTTTCTTTAATTTTTTTACGATTTGTTTGTTTGTATATAGGGTAAATTATGGCTTCGGCACCCATTGACTATTTTCGCCAACCGAAATTGAAACGTTAATTTCACTGTATTTTCCCATCAAAACTCTTCGCTGAATGTATTAAGCCAATTCCTTACCTTTTCAGCTTCAATCTGATTACATTTTTACGACTGTGCAATCCTGTTATGTCATATTTTTCTTTAAATTAAACATACACACTACAAAATACGGCTGATTTCGAGTTGCCGATAATAGAACAGCTGGTTAACACGCAGTTCAAATGGAAAGGGTGCCGAAGAAAAAGAGACTGCCGACAATAGTCACACTCACCTGAGAAGTTTGGATCGTTGTAAAAACATGTTCAACCCGTTTTGATCAATTCTGTCGATTGGAATTGGTAGAACAGCAAGCAGCAGATAAATGTCAACAAACAAACCTGTCATGTATGTGTGTGACGCTGAGAAATCGCTAATAGAAGTTCGGACGCTGCTTAGATTGACGAGAATACGTAAATTCCCCTATGTGTTTAAATCACAAAAAAAAAACTATGAATATACGTGCATTCTGGCTGTCTGGGTTGTCTTCAACGTATTCACCTTTAGTCCAACCTTTTCTTGTAATCTTCCATTAACGATCTTGAACTCGATGAATAGATGTTACGTAGGGACTCGATATTCGCGATACTTTTGGAGGAAATGCTGCAACGTATTTGGTCTGTTGTCTATCCCCGACTCCAAAACCGGCTTGATAACTTTTAACACATCTGGTTGCAAGTGGCGATAATAATAATAAAGATAACTAACTAACTTCTTCTTCTGCCTTTTTCTTCTTCCCATTTCAAGCTTATTGCTTATCGCATATTAGCTTATTGCGTGCTCTTAACTTAGTGAATTGATGCAAGATTTCGATCAAGTGACGATAATCACTGTTAATCACAGAGCAGATGACTTCTTAATTTATTTTCCTTGTCATACGTACCGTAAGATTTGATAAAGAGCAACACATTGTTGAGATATTGTAAAAAATCTAGCATTGCTTCTTGACACCAAACTCGGCCTACGGATTCTAAATTCGGCCTAACACAATGAAACGGTTCTGAATTTACTTGGGCCTATCGGATGAAGATAATAATTGATTCGATTAGAGCGATTCTTTTGTTTTTGAGAATAATGGGTGCAAACATTCATATCAGGCGTTCTTATTGACTACGTTCTGTAGCTTTTAAAATAAAGTATCGCACTAGTAATCAGTACCCAGTAACGCTTGGTAGATTACCTTTTCATGGTACGTTACAGGCATTAAGATAAACCACCGAAGCCTTGTGCGAACTACTTGAAACTAGGTGACCATTATTGTTTTGTATTAAAAGGAACACATATTAGTTATTTTTGCTTTTCATGCCTTGTTGATAGTGACAAGACTCGGCTTTGTTCACCGTGGATGATCTTGAAACAAGAAAAAAATATTTAAGTAGTTATTTTTCATCTACTTGATTCCTAATCGTTTATTCGTTGTTCTGTAGTTTGAAATAGTTAAGGCTAGGATTCTGATGCATGGTCATAATCGGTATTATTGCTTGTTTTTGTTGCGACGGAATTCGCTTTTGAATGACAAAGCGGCGTGCCTTTTGAGGGTGTTCCAACACTCCAAAGGACATAAATACAGAGACCTTTCAATTAGAGCCGGATCCTTGCGATAAGAAAAGAATGACAACTGTATCAAAACCGCATACTTCATCATTTCAATAGTAATGGAGTGATTGAGTAATACGACATGCACTAAACTAAGGACACGGAGTCTACCACATTATATCAAATAACTGGTTGCAGTGGATTTATGTCCCGAATAGAGGAAAAACAAACGTACCAAACGCATAATTGACTTTTTAAAGCCGAAATCATGAATTTGGGATTGATGTTTTGATATGCCCAAAATGGGCCATTAGGCTGAATTAGTTCTCTACCCTATAATTGTATGGAAAGTATAATCATATTCTATGTTCAGGGAAGTCGAGCCAAAAAATTCGTAGACCGGATCGGGAATCGAACCCAGCCAACTCCAGCATGGTGTTGCTTTGTAGATGTGCCTTACCTACTGAGCTAAGGGAGACCTCCACTCCTGCGGTAGTATTTATGTATCCCAGATCCTAATTGCTAGTCGGTGCAGACAAGTAGCTAGCTTTTCCAGGTCCATTTTAACAAGTTCCGTTCATCATCCTGGTATATCCTAAACTTGGACTTCTGACTATGTAGTATAGATTTTTTGAAAAAATGTTTCAAATAGATTGTACATTTCTTTCGAGTTCTCCCCATTTTTTACGAAAAGACTGATGGTCAATTATCTGATTTGAATTTCTATATTATTTAAAGTTAATTTTGTTATTAAAGACAAGATTTAATTTCATGTTTGGTTCTTGAATAGTACTCCTCGAATGCAATATCTAGATTTAATTGGTCGCAAATTTTTCAAATAATTTGTCAAAATGTCGTTGTTTTTATGACTTTCATACATTTTGTGTGCTGATTGCAAAGAATGTGCTACCAAAGAAGAAGTTAATGAGGAATTTCAACACTATTAGAGGAAAACGGGATAGAAGATGTTTCAACAGTGGCTGACGGATGATCTATGTAACTTGGAGATCATTTGAAGTCGGCAGATGAGTTTGAATCTTACTTCGTCGATAAAATTAATACTGATGGTTTTATTTGCAATGAACAGTCTTCCTTTTAAAGATACAAAAAAGAGTCTTCAAGGCAATCTGAATTACTTGCGATGACTGATATATCTGAAAATTATTCATTTATGATTCTTTATGCTGCTTAGGGTTATACACTGGAACAACTCTCAAAGAGTAATTCACCCATTTGAAGTATACTATTTGAAAGATAAAAAAAAACTCCAGCCCTATTCAAATAGAAGTCTAGATTTTTTCTCAGATTATAAGTATGCAGAGTTGCTTCAATAACCGATGTTTTTACATCCATAAAGTTTCATTGGAAGCCAACGCCATATAATATGCTTTGGAATGAAATTCATCCTATGCACTTGAGCCACTCACCTGAAAACATCCCCTCAACTCGCAGATTTACTGCATGTCGGTCGGTGCCTCGGTCGTTCTCGACCACCAGATAATACGGACGCTGGTCCTGCAAGTCAGCATCGTCGATGTGCAACGTTGCTAGGTAACAATCTTCCCGGCTGTCCTGTGTAACGTCATCGACCCGAAAGCGGCCTTTACGAGCAGAATATCAATTAGGCCCAAATTGTGATTAAAAGTGCGAACGAAAATATTTACCTATACCAGATCCAGCTTCTAACCGCAACGAGCCCCATTCCCAGGAAACGTGGCGAGGCCGTGGGTCGGCACACACTATTAACGAAAGTGTGGCAGAGTCTCCCTTCCGGACTGAAACTGAATGTCCAGAAGCAGTTGATGACGTTCGCAGAACCTGTGGTGCACCGACTACTTGAAGTGCAATCGGATCGGATGTGGCCGTCCTTTCCTGACCATTGATGAAGTTAGTCGCTCGGCACTCATACTCGCCTTGATAGTCGTACGTTACGTTATCTATTACCAGTCTTGACTCTCGTCCTCTGTCGAGGAATGGTTTACTCTGTGTGGAGATCCTGTGTTGACAGCGGGAGAAAATGGGTAAAAGGTTGAATGAAAACATTGCGAAACATGGAAAGGCGTAATGAAAAATCTGTCACAGACGAGTACAAAACGGTGCATAGATCGCTAACAAACAAAAGCCGGTCGCCTCTGGCGTCTTGAAAAGCGTTAATGAATTTTAATTAAAAAAAAGTATGCTGCATCCGCTCTCCTAAATAAATAATAAAAAAGAAACCTTTCAAGCCAGAGGGTCTTCGTTAATTTAACAAGCGATTGAGAATGTGCATGTGAATACAAAGAAGTTGTTGAGTGGTATGGTTTAAATTATATAAACCTATTCAAGTACATAATCTTCTACAGCTCCGGACTTGAATAAATCTCAGTGTTGTTCATAGCCTGATAGAAACATTGAGTGGAAGTCTTCCGATTGAGATGAAATTTTTTGTGTCTATAATATAACATACACATCTTTCACACATTGTCTATAAAATCTGTTGCAGCACTATGGTCCTTCATAGTGGAGTAAAAATTCTCGCCCTTATAGCACGCTTGATGCCAATCGGTTGTAGAAACTTCTATACGACTTTTTTAAGTCTTAAACAGGTTGCTGCTACTTTTCGGAACGGAACGGTGCTACTCGGGAGCCAGGCGTAGTGGTTAGCATCCATGCCTTTCACGCTGAAGGCCATGAGTTCAAATCTAAATACACCCTTTACTCGATGTGCTTCGATTATTTTTTTCATGTATTTTCTCCTACCTAAGTCGATTTAACATGTATTTTTCCCCGGTAATTGTATATAAAGCCGTTGCTGTAAAATTGATCATTGAGATTTAAAGTTAAGCTTAATGGAGATCTAATACAAATATGTTTGGATATGATATGTAATAGATATGACAATTTAATTTTGTCAAGACATCTGTAAAAAATATACATCTTATTCTAAATTTTTATTTAAATATTAAATATTACTTTCAATTTCATATCAAAATCAAATAATACTTTACCAAAATTAATCTTTTGGGAGATGTAAAGAAATTTAAGAATTGTGTTTTTTATGCTGATGGGTAGCTCGATACCCCTTAGCCGATAATCCCTTGAATATGACTGAATTTTTACCTCCAAATCACACTTATAAAATGATCAAAAGAAACAGCACGAACTTAATGGTTTAAATAGATCCTGCTTATTAATTAAGAAAATATTTTAATTTTATAGATATGCTGGCAAAAAAAAAGTCTTAGGGATAAACAAAAGAAAAAAATAATAATTATAAAAAAAAAAAACATTCATCAAACTGAATGCAAATGTCATCATAGCATTATGTCTTCTGCGTAGACAAAATTGTGCAGAAACATCAAAAAAAAAATCCTTTCTGGATTTTGAATTAACAGGGGAGTTTCAAGTTTCCCATGGATTAAGTGTGTCCAATTACCGTTTTATATTAGTAAATAAAATACTCTTTGGAACCCTTATTGATATTATTAATGTTACAAATTATCTGAAGTTTTGCTCATTTTTAGACATCTTTTAATCCACTCATTTGCTTCAAAAATTTGCTGTAATTATTCTCTACGAAAATAATTACAACAGTATTATTTTCAAAATGATTCAATATTTTTTTTAATTAAAAATTATGAAAACGCAATTATAGAAATCTCAGAAAAAGATGAAATATATCCTAGAAACGTCGGATAGGAGATGCAAAACCTTGATGCATCCCGGCTTATGATACTCCATGCTAAGAGAAGTCAAGATATTTTCAAAATCTTCAAAGGCAAGGGTAGTTTCTATAATATTCGAATGCAGCTTTCTGTTATTGTTCAAGATTACTCCTATTGAGGTTTCTCTTTGAATCAAGAGGCAAGCAAAATACTGTGATTACATTTTCATTTATAGAAATTTGGCTTCTGATTTGTTGCACCTTCATCAACACATATAAGAGGGCTGCAATGAAAATAATATTTAAAGAGAAGTGGAACAACACTTGGCAGATCAAAAGAGTTCTACATACACTGGGTTTTTATGTGTTGGGAAAATTATTGATTTCCTTAGGAATAAGATAGGAGAATTTGATCTATTATATACACAATCTTTAAAATCATGCAATGACAGTGTTGAATTGTTTTGCATTAACAACCAATTAAATATAAAGAAAGAGAGCAGGATTATTAAATTCCATTTAATTTCACTACCTTATTTGCTTATCCTTGACAGATACGCGTATTTCGTCTACAATGTGCATACTTCTTCAGTGTCTTGTACTAATACTTAACTAGTGGGTAGTGGGATTAAATGGTAAATACTAATCCTCCTCTCTTTATTTTTAAAGATATTACTTCTTTGAAATGCAGTTCCAATAACCCTATCAACTAATAAAAAAATGAATAGCACTACTCGATTATCCATAAGATAAGAGAGACCAAATAATTAAGTCATTCTTTTGGTGAATTCCAAGAAAGTGCTTTACTCTGTTTTAAAATAAGATGAAGGGGAATACGGGGTAAGACCGCCACCCCAAGCAATAAATTTAGTAACTAAAATGAGCAGGAAATTCACAGTTTGCTTTGCTACATATGAATAAGCGTTGAATGGACAAAAGTTATAAAATTTTCAAATTCATCACATTATTTATGCTTTTTCATCAATTTTTGGAACGATCAAAAACTACTCGTTCTATTAAAAGCGGCGTAAGAAGGACAAGGAGGGATAAGATTTTTCAACAACCATTGCACAAACTTGGACGCAATAAGCGCCGCATGAATGATACTATGGTCACATAGATCATAACCGTATATCTTTGGAATCGGTCAACTTGTTCCACAGATATGGCCGGAACAGGTTCCAGTGACCATAAGTCCTGTGAGCACAGGTCTAGAAGTCACCAAAAGCGGTTAAAACCTATATTGTGACACAGAGCATTAGAAAATATGGTCAATAGGAGTCATATTATGTGCCCAGGGCCTCATTTTCTACACCCTGACATGTTCCGGGTACCCCCGGGAAAGTGGTCAAAATCATATTAACTCGAAATCCATCATGCGACATGTAAAATCACATGAGAACTCTACAAAATTGTTATTGGTAGTTAAATTGAGTATGGTGGACCACATTGGCCACTCACGGGCATGTTACGGATACCACTTGGGAGCAAAACAAAATTTATTTTATGTTTGGGATGTAAATTAGTAAGAATGGTCACATCTCACCATAGATGGATGAAACCAGTTTTTTTTTCTTGGATATAGCTAAGAGAAATCAATGTCGCTTAATACTTGATCTGGAACGAGAAGTTTGATTTTATTTATTGTTTTAAAGCTCCATAAGTTAACATGTTGTTAATATTTTTGTATTGAGTATTGGTAAGAATCTTGAGGATTTCATATAGAACTGGCTGTGGCCCCTCTTACCCCACCGGGCGTTCTTACCCCGTTTTCCCCTAATGCAAAATAAATTCATTTCAATACTTGGCTTGGTTCTGCAATTGAGCGAACCAATTTTAAATCTTAATGAGTTTGAGCATCTGCGTAAATGAACAATCGACTTCCGAAAAACTTACCTTTGCACCCATTTGTATGTGGGTTGCGGATTTCCTTCCGCTACACATTCGAAGGCAGCGGGACTAAACAGCGGTGCCGTTGTTAATCGATCGGGACCGGCTGATAAAATCTTTGGGGCATCTGGAAAACGGTTCCGAGAAAGCCGGTGAGAGAAATTAATTATTTAGTTATCAATTTTAATACCATCCGCTTACGTACATTTTACATCTAATTGAACTGAAAGTGTTTCCGAGGTGCCCACAGAGTTTTGCGCTTGGCACGTGTAGAGACCGGCATCACGCCTGCCAACGGGTCTCAGTTGGAGTGATTCTTGTAAACTAGCTATTTCCGAGCGGCCCGCCCGTCGCCATACAATGCTTGCTGTAGGATTGGCATCGGCCTGGCAGCGTAGGATGAGTGAATCTTTTCCTTCCTCCAGGTCGATTTGTGGCGCGCCTAAAAGTCTTACCGTAGGCGCATCTGAAATGAGAAGGTTGTTTGTTGTTAAAATATAATCTCATCGTGGGTCTAGATTCGTATAGAACAATAAGGTTGTGTTTAAAGCTCCCACAGTCAACTAATTTACATTGATTCATAATGATTTAAATTTGTCGTTATTCTGTAAAAGAGGTTGTTTTAAATCTCTTTCCTTGTACATACACAGTTCGAAAAAGTAGTGTAAATTTTTGTAACTATGTGTGCATAAATGGAGCGTCATAAGTCATAAGTTTACATAATAGATCGTGTAAATTTATGAGACATGTCATGAAATATTCCATATATCTTGTAAACATTTTTGTCCATTTTTGTAAGCATCATTTCTTGCAAGTTACTAGTCTACGTGAAAAGGAAGTTTAAATTTATGAATGAGTGCAAGTATGGATGTTTACATCACCAGTTAAATTCAGATTTTTCTTTTCTACCTCAAATGTAACTGATTTCATGTGTTCATAACTGACTACACCCTTAGAAAAAAAATCATGTTAATTTAGGTGCTCTGAGACTAACATACAAGCGTCAATTTTGACATAAAATTGAGTCATAGCAGACGCGAAATTCAACTCAATCAAACGTACTTTACGTGAGTCTGATCCTTTATGCCAAAAATGGATTCCGTCACGTGTAAATTAGTTATTTCTAAGTGTGTATATAATCATAGCATAGGGAAATGCACGATATTTGAATATCACTTTTTACCCTTCTTACAAAGAAGGGTATTGATATCACTTGAAAAACCGACTATCGATCCGAGGCCCGGAGGGCCGAGTGTCATATACCATTCGACTCAGCTCGACGAGATCGGAACATCTCTGTGTGTGTATGTATGTGTGTGTGTGTGTGTGTGTGTGTGTGTGTGTGTGTGTGTGTGTGTGTGTGTGTGTGTGTGTGTGTGTGTGTGTGTGTGTGTGTGTGTGTGTGTGTGTGTGTGTGTGTGTGTGTGTGTGTATGTGTGTATGTGTGTATGTGTGTATGTGTGTGTGTATGTAACGAAATGAATGCGCTCACGTTTCTCAGCAACCGCTCAACCGATTTGGACAAACTCGGCGCCAAATGATAGGGGTCCCATTGAACGTTATTGAACGGTTTTGGAATCGGTGAACCGGTTCCGGAGATATGGCCGGAATAAGATCCGGTGAATATGGGCCTTCACGCTGGATTTAACGGAAAACGTATCAAAACCATCATGCGACACATCAAATTACTACAGTATTCAAAAATAAGATCAATGCAAGTCGTGTTAAGTGTTCCAGACCACATTGGACACACTTGGACATGTTCCGGGTACCCCGGGGAAGTTGATATGAATTGAATTAAAACCCATTAAATCACATTAAAATACGATGATAAGGTGATTGGTAGCCTCACCAAATAGACTACACCCGGATATATTCCGGGTACCCCCAGGCAGTGGCGTAGCGTCACTGGATGACACGGGGGTTGGGGGCTTGGTCACTGATAATGACAATAAAATAAATAAACTTGAATAAGTAAGAAGGGTCTGATCACACCATAGGTGGATAAATTCGGGTTTTCCATAGGAATTTGGTTTGTTTACACTTTTCTCGTAATCACACCATTCTATTGCTATGGAAATAATGTGGTATTAAAATATCGTGCTCTTCCCTATATAACTAGAATGTAACACAATTGAGGAAAATCAGGCCACACAAAAAAACAATTTCTGAAGTCATCTTCTTCGATTTCCATGAAAATTTGTATGATTTGAGCTGGAATTCGGCTATTTTGACTCGAGTCTCATTTTTCAATTGGCGTATTCAATATTTTCCAATAAATTATAGCACGAAAACAACTCGTCTAATCAAAATTACGTTAGAATTAACTTTCTAGGCAAAAAATTGGTCTTTTTTTATAAAAAATACAATAACATAATCTCAAATTTTAGTCAACATTGTTTTAATTTCAAATTTTAATATTGTTTTTGTATCAAATTTTGATTTTAGGTTGGATTTATCTCTTTACCTTGAAAATTCAATTTTGACAAATGAGCCGTGAGTCAAAATGGCAGAATTCCAGCTCAAATTTAAATGATTTCCCTGAGCACCAATGCTACCGACGCCAGGGAGGCAGCTCCCACACCTGGACCCTACCTATCGTCCCATCAACTCATGAATCGGGGGCCAACGGCTTTACTTCCCTTCCAAAGGAAATTCTGATCAGAGATGTTATGCCTCAGAACATCCCGGCGGCGCCGACTGGGATTGAACCCAGGCCTGCTGCACAGTCGTCTATTCATTTTTTTTTAAGTATGCCATTCGATTACCTATAGCTTGAAACGAATAATGTGATTGGAATAAAGTCGATAGGTTGTATCGTTGTCGAGAAATCGTTGAAAACGTACCGTGTTAATCGTGGAAAACTGTAAAAAAAACCGTGTTAAAAAAGACTTCAGTGTACTTGAGTGCTTTAGGTTAGCCTCATCAAATTTAATTCCATTTGCTGATTGTAGGGGATTTGTTTAAATTATTGGAAGGGCTCAGAATTTTATGAAATTTTGCCCACAACCAAAGTCTGCTTCATAATGTTGCAATAATATAAACTTCAACTCTAAATCATATTTCAACACCAAAATGTCCTTAAAAACGGAAAATGACTTTAAATCACGAAAAAGGTCTCAAATTGCTATGTATAACCTTTATAAATCAAAAATTGTTACTTGAGAGGCCTCAAAATCTTTTAACATGTTAACAATTACCAAAATTCCTTTAAAACACTAAAACGGCCTAGAAATTTATTTTATATTTATTTTAAAAGGCCTGAAAATGACAACTCTCATAATAATCATGAAAGCCGGCGCCGGTGGTGTAGTGGCAAGCGTGACTGCTTTCTCACACAAATCTCTGGTCACGTCTTCCTTCGAAAAGGAAGTAAAGCCGTTGGTCTCGGCCCATGTGTGTTGAATGGGTGCGATATCCTACGCAGGTGTGGAAGCTGCCTTTCTGCACATTCGATTGCCGTCAATGGATGGCAATCGATGTCCGTCGGTGATTGGCGGAACAGAGACCGACGTTAAGTAAAGGAAAGAAGATAATAATCCTGAAAAGTTATCAACTGTTAAAATCAGTCGAAATGACCTACACACTAATCCAGTATTTAGTTGTTCGGTATTTTTTTGTACTGGGCTTACACGGTAAAACGAAAGATTTACTGAAAATTCAGTTTAAATCAGGTGAATAACCGACGTTCTGTAAAACACAAACTGAACTTCGGTATCGTTTGATGCAAAATACTGTACACAGAACATTCATTTACTGAGAAAGTCGTTAATTTCCAAATTTTCGTGATTTCACGAAAAGTCAGTAAAAACAATTACTGTGCACAAAGTAGTCTTTATTTTTTTACCGACTGGTCAGCAAAATAGCCACCTTGTTTTACCGACCACGGATTGTAAAACTCTAACCTGTCAATTTTATTCCCGCCGCCATTTTAGCTTCAGTAAAATCCGGGAGCAAGTGTTTAATCGCGCAGTTTTGTTAAAATTTGAATTATATCATGAATTATATCATGACGGAACTGGGAAAGCTCGACAGCGAAATTGAAGAACTATTTCGTTGGTACCAACATTTATTATTTACTCTTTTTGCAATTCCTTGATCTCCAACAAATTTTGATTAACAAAATGGATGTTTGCATTGTTTGCTTTCACTGTCGACGCGCTCAAGGGATTAAGTCGTCATATTAATTGGCATATTATAAACGGTGGATTGCACCAGGATTCATGCTTTTATTGCTGCACATTCACTACTTTTAATATAACTGGGTAACACGGTATAATAATGAACCAAATAACTGTCTTCTCAGTTAAATTGCAGCGAAATAAACAAAAAGAAATTACTGGGTTTTCCAGTATACGCAACTAGAACCAATTACTGAATGAACAGCTATTTTTGACAGATTGACTACGGACAGTTCGGTAATGCAAATTATTTCTGTGATGATTACTGGGTGATCCGCAATTCAAAAACCCAGTAAAATTTTACTGACTATAGTAATCTAAAGTTAGTGTGTAGACTTTCCAAACTGACTATATAATGCCAAACGCCAAAAAAAAAAAAAACAATTAGTTGCTTTTACAGCATAATTTTTAAATTAATTAGATTCTGCAAGAAACATAAAAAAACCTTTGATAAAGTGTTCTAAATTTCTGCGACCCACCGGTTTCTCGTTAACCATTGAGGAATGCTGAATTAATTTATATTTGGTCCCTACTTTTTCTGTATTTTCGTTTGACTTTGTTCTAGAAAGGCACGTCTTCCCGTTAGGGGAATTACTTGTTATGCAACAGTAAGGGGGTTAAAATTGCTATACATCATAGTTTCTATAATCTAAGTGATTGAAACTTTTCTGGCGGTGAGCATCACTTCTATCGTCGCTGATCTAGTTGTGCGGATGCCATAATCAAAGTCTTTCAATTTTAATCTTAACAATTAAATGGTATAGCTTAATAGTATATGCCGGTTTGTCCACCAGTTTGAAATTTGTGGATTTGCCCAATTATTAGTATTCTAGGCATACGTACACTTCACATCCAATCGTGCTTCGACAGCTACCGAGCGGGCCGCGTACGATTCATGTATCGCTAGACATTTAAGAATAGCACCATGTCGATCCTTGTTAGCTGGAATTTGAACCACGGACGCTGCAGACCATGTCCTAGGGTTGTCTGGTTCTGTCGAGTTCATTTGCGGATGCAATGGCGTTATCTCCTGGTCACCTATAAAAAACAGAAGAAATAGTAGTTAACAATTAAACGATGCTAATGAATGTTAATTTTTAAATTTGCATGACTGTCGAAGCTTTTATCGTCATCGTCTGGGATATTTAAATCTCCATTTGTAGGGCTGTAATCTTCAGGAGTAGTCAATTCATCTGAAAGCATTGTTTTTTCCATGGAGATTGTTTTTTTGTTCAATGCTCATCATTGACTCGCGCTGCTCTTCTTACCTTGCTTATCTGTCTACGATTTGCACAGGGGAAACTTTTCCACCTCAACAATAGGAAGTTCGTAAAGCTGAAAATTTATAATTAACTCAGTACACTCGGCATCCAACTGAAATCGTCTGGTATCGAGTCTATGAGGAAATAAGGATCTTTTTCCGTGAGCAAGAAAAGAGAAAACTGAAAGAACGTTCAGTTTTCTGTGGAAAGTTTCCTTCAATACAAGACAATAGGAGAAAAATCCGAAGCAAGCTGTGAATGTGAATTAGTATATTAAAAGTTGCCGGAAAATTGAATTTGTTTAATTATCTGGCACTTTCCTCCACCCTAATCGGCGCGAATACAAATCGAACAGCCATAAGGTGCAATTTATAAGCATTCATTAAAAGAGGAAAGAAGTGTAAGCAGTAATAAAATTCCAATTTGTTTGTAATGCAAGTGCGCTTCTGAACTTAATGTTATTATGTATTGTTTGTTATTTGATGCTGAGAAGAAGTGAATAAAGTCTATGAATTGATTGCATGACGTTAGAGTCATCGAGCTTCGTTCTTATATTTTAATTCACTGTACGATGTGTAGCTCATTTCTACCGTCATTACATATACTTTCTCCCCTCAAAGCGCCAACATAGTTTCACTAGCGTGCGCAGAAGGGGAGCCCTTATTAAAAATTACCATAAACGAACGATAGCTGAAATAATAGAACTAATCCACAAATTGTTTGGATGATACCCCGAACACGTCGTTAAGCAAAATAATCATAACAATTTTATTAGGGTGGCGAGTAGCGGTCAAACTGGCACCGTCAGTTATTTATTTCATTTGAGATCTGATTTTTGCCTTAAGGCCTGATCAAAGCGAAGCGAAAATCTCATACAAAATACTACATTTTTCACCTGCGTGAAAAACGCAATTGGCAAATATTTCACTTCGCTTTGAACTGTAAACAAATACGATCTAGCAAAATCGAATTTTGTGAATCGCATCTTTTTCGCTTACGTTTACTTTTTTCACGTATGCAGCGCTCGCGAAAATATCAGTAGCTAAGCGAAAGTCCGCATCGTGCTCTCTTGCCGTGCGGATCTATTTGCTTTTTGCTTAAGGAAGTGTTACTACTACCTAAAGCTACAACAAATTTAAACAGCACTTTTCAGTGCTCAACCTGTAAAAATTTTCTACCTTGTTCAACTCTTATTCCTCTTCGATCCTTGTTTGGACCCTACCCGAGGTAATCCTTCTTGGATATCGATTTGGAAAATTCCTCTTCGATCCTTCAGATTCTTATAGTAATCAGCTTGGAAGTCGATTTGGATAAAAAATTTACTGCCGCCATGGCGCCTAAACGCAAAAGAAAGGGGCAAACTCTTGATCCCCCTTCTGATGAAATAAATTTGAGTAATCAATTTGATTTGCTCACGGATGATGAGAATGATCTATCATCCAAGAAAAATTCCAGTAAACTTTCCCGGCTTAATGCCAAGAAGGAAAAGATTACCCCTATTGTGATCCACTTTTGAATTTCGTGAAAGTTAAGTTTTCACTACAAATTGGACGTCGAGGTGAATGCCGTGTATTGGCTGAAGCCTTGGATGGATTTAAATGTCTTCTCAAGTATCTTACTGAGAAGAAGCACAATTTTTTACTTACGACACCAAAACTGAACGTGTGTTCAAGGTTGTCATGAAAGGACTGCCCAGTGGTGAATCTCTGGATCAGATCGAAGATGAACTGGCAAAATTACTTGGAATTTAATTACTAAAATGGAACTTTCACAGAATTCATTAATTGACATGATTTCTGATATGCTTAAATCTAATTCCATGTTTGATGTTATTCAAACTGGAGTAAAATTTGCTAATAATATTGTCATGACTTTAAAATTCAGCAATGGATTTTAAAGCTTTAAATATTTTAAATTGGAATGCTCGATCTCTTAAAGATAATGAAGACGAGCTATTTAACTTTTTGAGAGTTCATAACGTGCATATTGCCGTTATAACTGAAACTTTCCTTAAACCTGACCATAAGGTTAAGAAGGACTCAAATTATTTGATTTATAGAAATGATCGTCTTGATGGACCCTGTGGTGGCGTTGCCATCATTGTTCATAGACTAATCAAACATAAAATTCTTTCTTCATTTGAAACCAAAGTTTTGGAAACTTTGGGTGTTTCTGTTGAAACAAAATTTGGACAACTTACGTTTATAGCTGCCTATTTGCCATTCCAATGCGTAGGCCAGAAAAAGAATTTTCTCAAGGGTGACCTCCAGAAACTTACCCGTCATAGGTCTAAATTCTTCATTATTGGTGATTTTAATTCAAAACACCGCTCATGGAATAATGCTCAAAGCAATTCCAATGGTAATATTCTGTTTGATGATTGTTCTGCAGGTTATTACACTATTCAATATCCAAACAGTCCAACATGCTTTTCTTCTGCAAGAAATCCCTCAACTATTGATTTGGTCTTAACTGATTCATGTCAACTTTGTAGCCAATTGGTTACCCATGCTGACTTCGGTTCTGATCACCTTCCAGTAACTTTTGAAATATCCCAAGAAATAATTTGCAATCCCAACAGCTCTATTTTCAATTACCATAGAGCTGATTGGGAGCAATATCGAACATTTATGGAATATAATTTCGATCCAAACCAAAGATGGAATTAATTATGCTCTTGAATCTCTGACTACTTCTATAGTTTAAGCAAGAGCTGCCTCAGTACCAAAAAGCGAGGTTAAATTCGATTTAATTATAATAGACGACGATCTTCAGCTCTTGATCCGTCTTAAAAATGTCCGTAGGAGACAATATCAAAGAACATGCGATCCTGCCATGAAAGTTATCTGACGGGATTTGCAAAAACAAATTAAAAAGCGATTCTCTGCCCTGAGGAACAAAACTTTTGAAAATAATGTTTCTAAATTAGACCCGAGTTCCAAACCCCTTTGGAAAACTCACAAAAAATTTGAAAAAACCTCAAAAGCCTATTCCAGCGCTTAAAGAAGGTGGTAAAATTTTGATCACAAATTTGGAAAAAGCTCAGAAACTTGCTAAGCAATTCGAGAGTTCCCATAATTTCAGTTTGGATCTTACTAGGCCTATTGAGAATCAGGTTGCTCGGGATTTTCTGAATATTTTCTCTCGGGAAAATATTTTTGATGATTCCTGGGGGACTGATTTGGACGAAGTAAGGTCTATAACTAAAAAGTTTCAAAATAAGAAAACTCCAGGTGATGATGGAATTTTCTATATCCTCATCAAAAAACTCACAGAGAGTACCTTGTCTTGCTTGGTAAAATTATTTAACAGATGTTTCCATTTGGCATACTTTCCTGGTAAATGGAAAAATGCAAAAGTTGTTCCAATTTTGAAGCCGGATAAAAATCCAGCTGAAGCTTCTAGCTACCGTCCAATAAGTTTGATTTCTGCAATAAGTAAACTTTTTGAAAAGATAATTTTGAATAGAATGATGCTTCACATCAATACGAACTCAATTTTTGCAGATGAGCAGTTTGGATTTCGCCATGGGCATTCAACTACTCATCAACTCTTGAGAGTTACCAATTTAATTCGTTCAAACAAATCTGAAGGCCACTCAACTGGAGTTGCTCTTCTAGACATAGAAAAAGCATTCGACAGTGTTTGGCATGAAGGTTTGATTGCTAAATTGAAAAAGTTTAATTTTCCACTTTACATTATGAACTTAGTTCAGAATTATTTAAATGACAGAACTCTGCAGGTAAATTACCAAAATTCCAAATCCAATCGACTACCTGTTAGTGCAGGAGTTCCTCAGGGTAGCATTCTTGGACAAATAAAATTCTAATATTTAAACAAGTTTTTAGACCGGCCATGCTTTACGCTGTGCCAATATGGGCTTGTTGTTGCACTACCAGGAAAAAAGCACTTCAAAGGATTCAGAACAAAGTTCTGAAGATGATTTGGAAGTTGCCTCCCTGGTACAGTACTACTGAGGTACATAGAATTTCGAATGTTGAGACCTTAGAACAAATCTCCCACAAAATAATTAATAATTTCAGGCAAAAATCGTTGCAATCCTCAATTGCAACGATTAATTCTCTTTATACTTAGATAAGATTTAGTTTTAGTTTTTAGTTTTAAGATATCAATTGTTATACTGACGTGCAGGTTTAAAAAACCTGTTTAAAATACTGAATTGCCAAGACATGAACAATGTAAAAACACTTAGATATATATCATAACAATTAAGGCTGGTACGTTACTGAAGTAACTGGAGCACCTAGGTTAAAATGAAATGTAATTTATTTTGAATTTGAAACAAATAAAGAGCTATAAAAAAGTAGCTTAGCGAAAAGTTGACGTTTCGAGAAAGAGCGTATCTGTCAGATTTTCACTTCACCGGAGGTGTAAACTGATCGATTTCGTTTCACATGAACTGTAAACTGCAGAAAAAGGAAACTGGAAAATGTTCCACAACCTTTTTCGCTAGCGAAATTTCATGATTTTTCGCGTTTTTGGGTTCTTTAAGGGTATTGAGGTAAATGCATATTCGTAATCTGCATTAAAAATGTAACCTAAGCCCAAAATGTTATCAATTTTGGTACACTGGAACTATTTTAAATAAGAACGATTACATTTGCAAAAATCACCTTATTAGCGCTCCTCGGTGTCACTTTGTATGGGAGCGAGCTGTCATTTTGTCAGTTTAGTGTCAAACAGTGGAGTTATTATTTTGCTTTAAATCTTGATTTAAAAATCGAGATGAAAGTGTGTAGGTTCCCGCGATCGCTGTGCTCAGAAAACGAAGCTCTTTCAGATGATATATAAAAATCGATATATTTTTCTAAATTAAAGAACCCAATTTCGTTTCGCTTCGATCTGTATACAAGGCTTTAAATGAAAAGTTCTTTAGAAAATGATTATTGACGTGTTTGGGGTATCATCCAAATTATTTGTGGAATAGTTTTAAGTTATGTTTGTTTATGAAACCCGATTAAACTGATAATCCTAGAGTCAACTCGTTAGTAAATTATTGAATTTGCACTATTTTTTATGTCTTGTGACCGAACATCAGTATTTTTATATTGGACTAGCTGAGTGTATCCGGCCTTGCTCGCGATTCAATATTAGCTTGAACTTTATCTGATTTAAAGACCACAGATGTATCATTTAAATTAGAAAAGTTTGAAAATTGATGTATATTTGTTAATGAAAACTTGTTTGTTTATTTCACCGAATCTGATGACATCACACACAAAATGACAGCAGCGGAGTAGCTAGCCTGGTATATGTAAGTCGTGGTCGTAATATTTCTATCAACGAACACAAATTTTCTTGCATTGTAATGGTAATCTAGGAGGAGGTTCGCGTCTAGTGCTTTCCCTAGGAACCGTTTGCAGCCACCAGCTACCACCCGTCCAGTGTTTAGCGTATCCAGCGGGCATCTTTCAGATTGCTCGCAATGTCCAACACCGACGAGAGACAAGCAGCCGAGCACTTTTGCATGCGGAAAACTTGCTGATTCACGGCACCAAAACTCGCGACGGATACATTATCAGCACGTTCTCGAGCTAATTCACCAGCCGGACCTGGTTCAAACTCGCCCACGGTGACGAATCTCTCAATAGAACACACGCCGAAAGGGTGGCATCCGAATTCGGAGAACCGGGCTCCCGGGAGGCAATGAAAACCGACATCGATCAGTGAAACTGATGCTGTGTCGTAGATTTTGAAGGTAACATTCAAGGTCAAACGAGTCACTCAAGGCAAACACAGGCAAAACACGATATATGACTAAATGATAATTTTATGAACACCTGAAACTAAATTTCAGCAAACAAATATTTTCCTCGGATATTCACTAACACGCTCTCATATATCGTAACAATACAACTGGACGTGAAAATTTCTATACACCCTTTTAGAAAACTAGTTCGCTATTTTGTTTTGACGGTAATATTAGCTTGTTTTGACGGAAGATTCTTCGACATATTACAGACAATTCTATAACATTATACTCAGTTTTCCAAATAGGGTGGCGATCTTACCCCACTCAACAAGTTACTGACTAACCCCTGTAGAGCATAATTTTTCAAAAATATGATTATTGAACAAAATTATTTATAATCGCATAAAGAATTAAGATGAGATAGTGTATGCAAAAACAAGAGGATTTCAGTATTTTAATTGTGTCAAAACTTTGAAATCTGCTGGATTAAAATAACATTCCACTGCACTCGAACGATGCTTGGGTATGTTTTTATTTGCAAGACAGTTGATTGTGGGCCCAATCGGTCTCGAAATGTTCTAAATAATGAAAAGTGAAATACCTGTGTTTATTCAAATGTACAAAATTTGTTTTCCTACAAAACTGATGGTGTACCAGGATTATCTACAATGCCGGGCCAACAGACAGTTCTGCTAGGAGCTTTTCAATTATTTATCAAGGAGGTTGCCGGATTCCAGCGACATATTAAAAAAGCCTAAACAATGGAGCTGTAAGTTCCAGTGCTAAATTCTTCATATAGCTGGGATCCCGTCAGGTCCAGAACTTTTAGGGGCATCTAATTTATTTAAAGCTTCCATAGTGTCCTGCACTTGAACCTGATTGACACTAATGTCTCTAGTAAATTCTGAGAAGAAATCAAAATAATCGCGAACTCGATGATCTTCAGAATTTTTTTTTATAGATTTCTTGAAAGAAAGTTGCAAATAGATTACAGATTTCTTTCGAGTTTTTATCAACAATTTTGTTAAGATTAATTCTAGATAGAAATTTTGTCTGATTTAAGTTCAAGTTTTAAAGTTATTGGGCAAAATTTTATTTCTATTTTTCCTAAAATGCAATATAAATGACTAGATTTAGTTCAGGAGGCGAACCAGCCACAGGCTGAAAGCCTCCTTAATAAAGAAATTCCAACCTAACCCAGATTTAGTTGGTGGTAAATGTCCAAATACTTTGCCAAATTACCGTTGTTATTATCCCTTTCATTCATTTTGTGTGCATTTAGCTGTCAATTTTGAAATTAATTTGTTTGTTATACCAAATTGAATGTATAAGGTCATTCATTACCTTATTGCCTGATTTTTTTTAATGGTGCTCAAGTATTATTTCAAATAATAAATTGTAATCGTCTTGTTTTGTCAGAATTTATCGTATTTGCCGTATGATAATGACCTCTTCATTCTCATTGATTTTTTTTGTTTTCATGTGCAAATAAAGAAAACTAAATTGTTGTGTAAAACCGAAGACAACAATTCAAGAAGACTTGCAACTTTGCCAGAATCCAAGCGACATATACAATGGCACTGCGCTTGAAGCAACGCATAGACAAATGAGCAAATACACATACCCTTCTTCTGAGGATGTAATATTTGCTATCAAATTCGTTCGAAGCATTTACCTTTGAGAGGCAGATGACGCGATTTTACCTATTTCATAGCGTTTGTATGAGAAAAGTTGCCAGTCTTCTTTATTTGTTGTCTTCGGTAAAACCCTTTTTTTCCTTAAAGGGGTTAATGTTTCGGTAACATAGCATCCTGATTTTTTTAAATGATTGATTGAATTGAGCTCTAAACTTACAGCTAAAAAATATGCGAGAAGAAAAGATTTTCGACAGGGCTTGGATACAAACCCTATGTTCACAAATTGGTATGCTTTATTCTTGCATGTCACCACAACTATGTATGTAGTATGAAGTAACACTTAACAAAATTGGTAAAATATGCTCGTATGCGAAACTTCAGTCAGCGAATTGGTTCTAAGTAGGTTCTCATATATGTAATGCCGAGCACATTTACATCAATAACGTTCTTCCATCTTGTCAAAAGCATCATCCGTGAATTTCATACACCATAAATCCCAGTTCTATTCTGTGTAATATTGTGCAGATTTTTTCACACCAGCAATTTTCTCTTCCTTTTGAAGATGGTCTTTTAAACTAAACGAATGGCTTGTTGTTCATATCCCCAACGTTACTGCAATTTTATTAATATGCATTTTAATTTTCTTTGAGTGGCCTCTGTTGGAGGGTAAACACTTTAGTGCAGCGCTTTGCTTCCGAGATTTCCATGCGGCCATAGTTTTTCACTTTCTCAGTATTACATCGACTGAAGTGCTTTTTTTTAGAAAGGCAAATAGACGTGCTGGCCCACGCTCGCTGATGGGATGGCTTTTCCCAATTCCCATATCCTGTTGAGGTATTTTTTTTCTGTTTTGTTTTCCAATGCACCCGATTCTTGCTGAATGCTGATGGTGTCGGTTTGAGGATGATTTTTTGGCAGCTGTTGAAAATTTAATTTTGTTTTTTCTTTTCCATGTGAGCTCAGCTAGTGAGAGGATGCTTTCGGTGCTGGTTGCTAAACATGGCACATGCAGCAGCAAGGGCAAAAATCCGTGAAACAGAAGGCTTCCGGATTGTGATGCAAGGAGTAGCCGTGGGTATGGTGTAGGTTGGGAATGGCTGGTTCAAGCCTGAAGAGAATGTGGGAAAATATGTTGGGTTAAATTAAATCCAGCTACGTTTTTGCATCTTTTCCTCCGGAACAGCGAGTGTCGAGTGGGTGTGTGCTAGTGAGAGTACAAGTGAGATAGAGTGCGCGAATGTTTTTGTTTGCTATTTCATCCTGAAACCGTGCGCGAGCTTTTGTGAATTATTTCATAAGTGTAATTTGCATATTGCTAAAACGAGATCAGGCTCTCGTTAAATACAGTTGAAGTGAAGCTTGGGGGGAGCGATTTAAATTTTAAGCTTATTTACGAATATACGTTGCACGTGATGCGGCAAATTTGGAAAACTCTTGAGCTTTGGAAAATCTCAGTGGAACGTGAATTTGGCAGAGGAGTGGAATGAGAGCAACGGTGCAACCGAATATACGACAACTGACTCTGTCTGTGAGTGGATGCATTGAATGGCTTGCAGCGAGAAGTGAAATAAAAAAAAAATAGCAGAAAATTTCGGATACGGATGTACAGAGTGCTAGATTTAATCGGATAAAATGCTTACCTAGAAACCACTTCAACTGCGCTGGAGGGTTTCCGTAGTGCGAGACACATTTCACGGTGGCCATCGCACCGGAATCTACGGTAACGTTGTGCCCGGGAGGAACATGAACGCCTTCATGTTCGAGTCTGGGTCGTTGTGGTGGAACTGCAAATAAAAACAGCAAACGATAAAAGTTAGATTGGTCCATTTTCCTATGTGAGTTTATGGGGACAGGAACAGTAGATTTGCGAAATTAGTTTAGCGTCCCAGGTACAATTTATCGATTTGAATTCAAACGAGCTTTATGAAAATTGAGTTCCAGTCGACTGGAAAGCAACGCTTTGGCAGAGGATTTGGAAAATATGCATTTGATCAAAAACCACTACTGTATGACTTTTTACAGGTTTGAGCCCAAGACATAATTGAAGTGCTTAGCTTTAAACCCGATATTATGCATTGGTCTACTGAGAATAGTAGTAAATAAATTATGGTTTGATAAAAATAATATTCTTTATACGAAAAATTCATTTTCTTTTCGAAGCTTGGAATGCCTGGGGATAACATTGCAAATCATGTTTCTAATTTCATCATCTCCTGTTCCCGTTACAGAAACTTGATCAAATTAGTCCTTACAATTTAAACATATCAGGAATTGAATGGGATTGGTTTCAATATGGGAATTTAGCAGGACAGTAGGTATTGATAAATTGGTGTAATATTTAGACGTTTGGTTGTTAGATGATTTAGTGCTTTAAAAGTATCTTCTTTTGGTGGCTGCTGGCCTTCAAATTGGTTTATATTCAAATACTAACTTTCATATCTTTAATAATAAAGACATATATTCTTCAGCAAAGTTGTAAGTTTATGTCAAGCAACTTTGCAATATATTTTTTTCTATCCCTTAAAGATCTCGTCTTCCTGAAAAATGTAACAGCAATTAAAAAAAAAAACAGTATTGAAAAAGGTAAGCGGTAGCACATTTTATTAAAATTTGCCGTTAGGGTGGCCCTCGCAAATCTGTCGTTTCCCTGTACATTTTTAATTTAAAATTTTTCATGAAAGACATCTCCGAGATACTTTTCAGGCTTCTTAACAAGCAAGTTTTATGAGAAAACATGCTTAAAAAATATTAACGTCAAATTGATTTCAAAAACCATATCTCTTTTTTTGTCTAATGTACTTTTAGTTGTGGCCTTTCTTGAACTAAACATAAAATTCATTTGAATTTGCCCAATGCTGAGTAATTAAAATTTGAAAAGAGCGTATCTTATAAATAAATCTTATAATTGATCATATTAACAGGTTTTCAGGTACATCCTAGTTCTATACCGAAAAACAACTATAAAATTAGAAAGTTAAAAGATAGAAAAACATGTTTTTTTTTAACAAAATAGCTTGCTTTTCAATTCAGTTGCAATTTCGCTTAAGAACATATGTCTTTTTATTAAAAAATAAGAAAATTATATAATGTTTATAGCGCCCAAAAAGAAATGACATTTTAAGCACAAAAATTTCACCGAAGATTTAAACGTCTAAATATTAAAGAAAAAGTTTTAGACCTAATTTCCGGCTGAATTCCCATCCTGGACCACTGTGCAGGTGGTGTTCTCAAAACTTGTATAACTGTCAAAACTTTTAATCGTGTTGATAAATATAAACTTTATTTTGATTTTGTTTCAAAAGAAAATAATTGTTTCAACTTGCACATATCACTGTCTGTAACTTGTTTTGCCCAAATTTCCGAATTATTAACATTTATACTTCAATAAATCTTGGTTTAAATGTGACAATCTTATAAAATACATTTCGTTCATTATGGGGGTAGATCTCTGAAATTCATTGGGACGATCCAAATTACATTAATTTCGTCATCGGGATCAGGGCTCTACATTTTCGAAGCTCTTAAATGAACTCGAGTTTTGTTTTTTCATACACCTAGCTAGACCATCAACACGAATCCTAAATTAAAAAGAAGCATGCTTAGAACGAAAGCCAGGCTATTGATTTTCTCGTCGTTGCGTTCCTAACCATGTATCAACGAAAGTAACATCGATTTTCAAGTTGAAACCGAAACCACATTATGACTTTCAATCCCTTCACTGACACTGTCTCCGCTCTGTCAATGTATTTAATATGCATTATGTCCCATTTTCGTTACTTTTTTTAGATAAATATGTGGATGGAAGATGGGACCTCCCTTAGCTTAGTCGGTAAAGGCGTAGCAATAAAGCAAGACCATGTGAGGTGACTGGGTTCGATTACCGGTCCGGTCGAGGAACTTTTCGGGTTGGAAAATTTCTGGACTTTCCTGGACATAGAGTATGATTGTAATTGCCACACAATAACAAGCATCGTAAGCTCTCAATTAATAATTGTAGAAGAGGATCTAGATCATTAAGTTGAGATCCCGCAATAAGCTAATGTGCGATAAGCAATAAGCTTGAAATGCGAAGAAGAAGAAGGAAATGAAAGATAAATTAAACATATTAAATGTAACTTTCTTGAATGAATGACGAATGAAGCGACGGGAGAAAGAGAGGCAAACTATTGAACAGTTGTTTGTAGGCACTATGGTGCTAGAATGCTGCGGAGCTGCTCGATTTCAACAGAAATGAAAGCTAGCAAAGGAATTTCATCCAGAATTACCTCAAAAATCCAGAAATAGTGCTCAACCATCTTCGATTTGCATAATACTTGGCACATATTTTCAGAATTATAGACTCAGTATTTTCCGCAGGATAATACACATCAGACTGATGCAAAATTTGACTTTACATGTAAATTACTATGGGAAATCTGAACTTTTTGTTCATCGCCTTCTAGTCTTTTCCATATTGAGCTGAGAAACAGTTCGATAGCCATTCTTATAGAAAATTTTCTCAGCTACAACTTTGCTGAAGATTATTTCTATGTAAAACGAGACAGGAAAAAGTTATTGATTATTTAAAAGATTGGTAAACTTATGACATGATCAAGCAGCTGCTCTGTAGGCAACACTGTATTTTGCAGTGTGACATAGTAGCCATGATTTGTGTGTCTTATTCAACGCCCCAGAAACACCAATGTTGCCTGCTGAGCAGTTGATTGAGCATGATCATAAGACATCAGCGCATTGAACCATTGATAACTTTCGATCCTTGCATTTAATCAAAAAGTGGTCTTGAGCAAGGTTGTAGAAAACTTTTGAAGCAAACCAATATGGTGAATTATTAGATAGACATGAACAAAAATCTTGGTTTTACCATAGTAATTCCCATACAAACTTCAAATGGTTTGTGTCATCTCAGTTTCTCACCAAATGGGTTCAAATTTTGAGAGGTTAGTCAGGATCCGATTTGGAATCGTTTAAGTATTGTGGAGCGAAAATTTCAAATTTTGCATCACTCTAATACACATATTATTTAGAAAAATGTAAAGGCTGACTAAAAGTAAACTAGTATTCCCTCACACGCTACAAGCACGCCTCTAGTGTTGGGAATTGAAAATCTTTGACAGTAGTTTGTTTGCACTTCTATAGAGAACAACTGGTGCAGAAGAAAAAAATATTTTGTACAATCGTATATGCTTTCCATCAACCAAAATATGGCCAGGATCTCAAGATATATCATATTCAGGAAATTCACTTGTACACTAGCGTTTTAAAAATCTCCTAAATAAAGTTTAAAACAAAAACTACACTAACGCGTACTGAGAAAATTCTAAGATACTGTGCACCAGCCAAATGCTCTCCACCCACAGAAGAATTGTGCCCAAAACAGAAAATTTATATTTGGTCAGGATCTCTAGAAATTCCAAGTTGGATTATGCCAAACTCCACATGCTACGTGTTGCATTTACGTGATCTAAATTTACAATTTAAAATTACAATTTAGAGTATTTCTGATGTAAAAAATTATATGTTTTTTTTTTCTTCAATTAGGTTGGTTTGACATCTGCAATAAAATTATAACGGAAATCTCACAAGTGTTGCAAAAAGAACGACAGCGTGAGTTTAAAAGTTTTTCCAAATCGCTTATAATAGCTTGCAATTTATGAGTTGTTTACTGGTGTACAGGATTTCACCTGCTGGACAATGTTACACGCCTACTAACTCGGTTCATCACTGCTTGTTTCCGGTTTTTCGGGCGTCCCACTTTTCCTTCCGCTGAAGATGGTCCTAAGCAGGGTTTCCTCCACCGACTTTAATATTATATAGCAAGTAAGTTGGAGCAACCCTGTTATCTACGTGACCGTAGATAACTACCGCACCGGTCTTATCAGTGTCTTGTACATGGTACACTTTGTATTATATGTATATGGGTGCAGTTTATCAGAGCTCTGAGTTTTGTGGAGCAGACTGGCCCTTAAAAATTAAAGTTCAAATTTTCCACGGGCTAACTCCCACATTTAGTTTAGAAGAATCACTCTCTTAAAGTTTAAGCTCATTTGGTTGTAATTCTGGCACTTTTGGTCGGAATTTTACATGGGGTTTACGGTTAAAATTCATGAAAAAATTACACCCCTTCATTGTTTCGAATATAAAGAAGGTTCTTTATTCTCAATTCATCTCAGATTTTCAGAACTTTTAGTTCAAATAATAATGAGTTTATTATGAGTTAATAATTAGTTAAACTAGTTAATTAACTTCGTTCCACCCACACTGCACAAATGAAAATTATTGGTGGAATTGTAATCTACTACTAATTTCATAATGGTGAAATGAAACCTTTTTCCTACGGCGTTAAGTGCTGCATTTTTACTAGAAGGCGCACACTATACCATTCGTTACATACCACATTGTGTGCTAACTACAATTAAATACCTATCATATGGTAAATCAACAAATAAATAAGAATTCACTTACCTCTGACTACCAATCTGACAGGTTGACTAGTGAGGGCATCCTGTGTTGTGAAATCGCTCGCAGTCACCTGACACTCCCAAAGACCGTCATCAAATTCTAGCTGAGCTGCTCGAACCCACAGCGAACAATCGCCTCCTATATGCGTCGTTTGGCCGATTCCGTACTGACTGGCCCATTCATACTTTTTGAGATATATCCCAACTGGCTTATTGTCCTTTTGCCACGAGCAAACGCCTCGTTTGTCGATCACTTTGCATACTAGCAAAGCGTCCTGGCCAGGATTGACCTCTGTGTACTTTGGTTGCTCGGCGAATCGCTGAAGACCAACGGAGTCTGAAGAGAAAAGGAAAAGCAAAACTTGTTAGGTCGACTGACAGAACACAATTAGCAGTATAATTATTTAATGCATGTCTGAGGTACATATGTTTTGCGATACTCTTGGCACTTGCCCGCAATATCCAACGGAGTGACTAAAAGTATGGTTGATATGCTGGCACGGATTCAAAACTACCCACCGAGATAACGAAGACAATTTAAAATTTATGAGCTTTCCCATCTCGTGGATATGGCATTTGTTAGTGGTAGAAGAAGCATATTGTGTTGAAGAACATGAATGTGAGGAAACAAAATAAGGTTTTTTTTTTCTATAATGGCAATATTTTGTCGTTGTATTTTGCTTTAGTTGACCTCGTCCTATCATCATGAAACATTTTCACCAAGGAACAACAATGCTTTTCTGTTCAAGTTTAGTGAGTTTACTGTTTTATCTAAGTATAAGTTGGCTATCAATAAAAAAAGATACAGAGACAAGAGTTAGCGGCGCCAGTGGTGTAGTGGTAAGCGTGATAACCTCTCACATCAGCAGGGCTGGGTTCAATTCCAGTCGGTGCCGCCGGGATATTCCGGCATAATATTTCAGATCCCGCCTTCCTTCGGAAGGGAAGTAAAGCCGTTGGTCCTCGGTTCATGAGTTGATGAGTCGATAGGTAGGGTCCAGGTGAGGGAGCTGCCTCCCTGGCGTCGGTAGCATTGGCAGCACGGAAAACAAGATCGACGGAAAACAAATCAAGGGAAAAAAAGAGTTATGGAACCATCAAGAATGATGCAAGCCTTGATATCCTTTACAAGTTACTGTAGTGATCGATATATGGATGTATAAACATAAATTTAAATAAAAATCAATTTTTAAGTAATTTTGATCCAGGAAGCGATTGTGACTAATGAATTTTAATATTACCATTACTAATATATTTGTGAAAAAGTGATTTTTTTTAATATGTTTTCTTAAACCAAACGCATAGCATAGAAATCCACTTTATCGAGGATCAATCATTTATGTGCATGTATCAAGTTAACCTTATTGATTATTGAATTCAATAAAATAAAATAACGGTTTATGAAGAAATTAAAATTTTACTGTAAACTGTTAAAACCATTTATAATCTTTTGCTTCAAACATAGTTTTATAGATGTGGTCACGTCACGAAAATGCAGCCGTTGTGAAAATTGCAATCACAAATAATCAAAAATGTGAATTACACCCGATTCCTTTTTCTGTGCTAGGGTACGACCCCGGCGTAGTGGTTAACATCCATTCCTCTCACGCCAAAGTCACGAGTTCAAATCTCACCCCCGGACAAGTCACGAATGACCCAAGAGTGTTAAAGTGACCAAATAAAAAAAAATCAGTGCTAAACCTATACACTTTTTTTACCAGGCGATGATAATAGTGTAATCAGCGCTTTACATTTTAAAATGCTAAGCCGATTCAAAACTACCAATCAATCGACTCAGCTTGACGAGATTGGAAAATGTCTGTGTGTCTGCGTTTGTGACGAAATAAAGTAAGTCGTGTTTCTCAGCAACCAGTACATCAATTCAGCGTTAAATGAATAGTACTATGCTTCCATATAATGCTTTTGGATATTTTTGAAATCGGTCAACCGGTTTCGGATATATAACCAACTGATTACGGGGATGTATATGAGCCATAAGTAGTCAATGGTAGTCATATTGAGCGCTCAGGATCACGTTTGTCACGTTGAGTTGGGAAAAACCCATCATGCGACATCGCAAATCACATGAGAATTAAAAAAAATCAAGTGTCCATATCAAGTGAATATCCTTTGCGAGCCTAATGTCTAAATTTGCATAGATTTCAGCTCTAAAAACATAATTTCTGAATCTTTTTCTTCACAACAAGTTGCATTTTTTCGGGAATCTATTGAAATATTTGAATTCATGTGAAAACATTTGGATAAATACATGGTTCCGGAGTTATAACGGTTCCCGTTGGAGTCACTTTTGGTCGGCATTCGACTTTACTGTTCTGTAATAATTATACACATGATGAAGATTATGTTTTTTTTTTCTCTCAAATTATGTAATTGGACCAATAGCATCTATACCGACGGTCCACAATTACATTGGGCATCCTGGAAATGTTCTGGTGCCCCCGGGGAAGTGGCCAATTCTCAACAAGAACCAAAACCCATCGTGTGACATATCAAACTTCATGATTTTTCAAATCTTGGCCGGTAATGGTCTTATTGCGAGTCCATGGACACACTAACCCTCGCAGGCATGTTTTGGTGCCCCCGGGAAAGTGGCCAATTCTCAACAAGAACCAAAACCCATCGTGCGACATATTTAACTTCATGATTTTTCTTAACTCGGTGGGTAATGGATTTATTGAGATGACATGTTCACATTGGCTACCCCCGGTACCATCGGGGAAGTGGTCAATTTTCAACAAGAATTAAAACTGGTCGTGCGACACAGCATAGTTCATCAATAAAAAAAACTCGGATAGTAATGGCCTTATTGACAGTCATCGGTCACACAAGCTCCCTTGGGCATGTTCTGGTGCCCCGAAGAAGTAGCCAATTTTCGACAAAAACCAAAGCCCGTCGTGCGACACATCAAACTTCATGGTTTTTCAGAACTCGGCCAGTAATGGCCTAATTAAGAGTTCACGGTCATATTCGCCATCCCAGGCATGTCTCAGTGACCCCGGCAATGTACCAGTACTCCAAGGAAATTATTAATTCTCGACCTGAACCAAAACCCGCCATACATCAAACTTCAAGATTTAACGTAGCTCTGTCAGTTTTGGCTTTATTGAGAGTCCACGATCACATTGTGGCTTTCGCGCACATTCAGGCGCCCCGAGGAACTGGATAATTCCCGATTAGAACCACAATCCGTCGTGCGACATATAACATTAATGGTCTGCCCCGTAACGTGGGTAGATCACCTTTTCGTGGTACGCTACGGGATGTAAGATCTACCACCGATTCCTAGTCCTAACTACTTCAAACTAGGGGAACAGGATTTTTCAGTAATCAAAGGAACACATCTTAGTCCTTGTTACTTTTTATGCCTTGTTGATAGTGACAAAAATCGGCTTTGTCCACCGAAGATGATCTTGAAACAAGGAAAAAATGAGTTAGTTAGTATTCAGTTATGTGATTCCTAATCTTCTATTCGTTGTTCTCTAGTTTCGGTGTCATCCCTTAATTTTGTTGCTAAGGAATACAATTTTGACTGACAAAGGGGCGCGCCTTTGGAGGGTGTTTCAACACTCCGAAGGGTATAAATAGCGGGACCTTTCAATTAGAGTCGGATCCTTGCGATAAATGCAAGAAAGACAACTGTAAAAAATCGAATACTTCATCATTTCTCAATAGTTATGGAGGAATACGACATGCACTAAACTAAGGACACGGGATATACTACAATAGATCAAATTACTGGTAGCAGTGGTGTTAGGTCCTGAAAAGAGGAAAAAAAAATGGTAATGGTCTTACAGAGCGTTCACGATCCCATTGGCCCTCGCGGGCATATTCCGGTGTTCCCGGGTATATTTTCAATTCTCGATAAGAACCAAAATCTGTCGTGCTGACAGTGAGATGATTCAGCGCACACCAACTGACAAATAAATCTAGCTGTTGTTGCAATTGACGACAGTCATCACTGCTCCTTAGAACTAAGTAGATGTTCAAATCAACTGCGTAGAACAAGCAGCAGTTTTCAAGGACGTGGGACACATCATTGAAGAATAACACGAACATGAACTTGGACGTCAACCATGCAACATTTAGCTCTGAATTTTGGTTTATAAAAGACTTTTTGATCAGAAGAAAAGCAGCTTGCGCTTCAATAAATAGCAACCAACTGCCAGGGGAATGTGAATCAATTTCGATTTTTATATTAGACTATTGAGGTGTTGTCCCAAACTACGTAGCATTACGTCAGATTGATGAGGAAAAACATCCACTTTTAGTTTTAGAGAACTGACTCGAGACAATTCTTGATTCTAGTAAATTAAATATACTCACTGGTTAATATGAATTGTCTTGAAAATTATAATTCGAATAATTTGAAACGTTTAGCTGATTTTTCAATTTTAAACAAATGGTTGATGAGAATAGGGTGGGTGAGCCAGTAGGGGAGGAACTAACACAAATTATTTATTAAAAATTGAATAAACGATGTACGTACAATTTTTATACTTCAAACTATGGGTTTCAATCTGTATTTTGCTAGAAAAATATTACATCGTAATCCATTAATAACACTGTTCCAGTAAAAGTGGTATTTGCTAACTTTGGTTCGTATAATAGTGGAACGCATTGGTTTCTTATGGGTTCCACTATTATAGGAATACTACCGCAACTATAGGTGCAAGGGAGTAAAAATTTTAGGGAAACTAAATTGTTTTCCGTCATTTTTGGGCTAATTTTAAGTAAATCTACTTTATTTTAGGATAGCCATCGATGAAAAATAATCTTATCCAGTTTTCCATCATTACTCTGACAAAACCACCATACCGCAACTTTTGGTACACACTTCGAAATACCTAATCTTACACGTGACGGAATCCACACAGTTTGAAAAACTAATGTAAATTTCTGTTACTATGATGCACATAAATGGAGCGTCATATATCGTACAAGTTTACATTATAAATGGCGTAAATTTATGACACAAGTCGTGAGATATTCCATAAATTGTATGCTACCGTCCACCTTTGTAAGCAACATTTCTTGCAAGTTGCAGGCTTACGTGAAAAGGAAGTTTACATGCATGAATGTTTGCATGCATGCATATTTACATCATCAGTAAAATTCAGATTTTTTTATGTGCATCTTTGACATAAAGGATGAGAAGTAAACAAAAATTAAGTGCTCCGAGATTTAAAATTTTAAGGTTACGTTTGATTGAGCTGAATTTCGCGTCTATTATGACTCAATTTTATGTCAAAATTGACGCTCGTATAAGTCAGTATCAGAGCACCTAAATTTAAATTAATTTTTCAAAGTGTGTACACC